TTTCCTATTTCTGTTTTGTTTTTTCCTATTTCCATTGTCGTTTTTCCTATTTCTGTTTTGTTTTTTCCTATTTCCATTGTCGTTTTTCCTATTTCCGTTGTCGTTTTTCCTATTTCCGTTGTCATTTTTCCTATTTCTGTTTTGTTTCTTCCTATTTCTGTTGTCGTTTTTCCTATTTCTGTTTTGTTTTTTCCTATTTCCGTTGTCGTTTTTCCTATTTCCGTTGTGTTTTGTGTGCTTTTGCAGCGTTTTTGTTATTGCTGGTGTTTTCTTAAGTTGCAGTCCATTTGGCCTCTCAGGGCCGCCATAAAGATAAGATATTTAGTGCATCTGATTCGTTAATTTCTATTAGTATGAAAAGATCATTTGATCCTGAAAGAGAATAGCTGTCTAGTTTTGTATCAGTTGCTGTAACTTGCATATATGGGCTAATTTTATGTTAGTGCCATTATATACTCTTTCTTTTTTCTTTAGCTTTTGCAAAACATGTTATATTTCAATGCAAGCAGTAATATATCACCAAAAGGATTAATATGCCATACAATTCATATACCATCTGAAATTACTTTAACTTATGCATAGACACCGGCAAACCCTTTGCAGTGATGTCCCTTTGCGGCACACATAATAGTTTTCATTGATTAAGTGTTATTGTTACTGTAGAGCTGCCTGTGAAGTTTGTGAAGCGACTCAGGGATAAGATAGCGATGTATAAGCATCGTGGTCATCTTGAATGCCAAGTGTCACGGGCCAGTGCAAAGGTGAAGTGGTACAAGAACAAGACGGAGATCAAACCCAGCAAGAAGTACGAGATCAAAAGCGAAGACCTGTACCGAAAGCTCACCGTTAATGATGTGGACTCTGGGGATGAAGACACGTATACCTGTGATGCCACTGATGACAAGACATCCTGTAAACTGCTTGTGGAAGGTAAAACAGTGGATTGTGACAACAGTTCATTTTAAACTTACTGCCACTGTAAATGTAAATACTTTCTCATTATATCCTCAGAAAACACGCCATCAGTGTCCAATTCAATGAGGTGTATGCCAATCTGAAACAGTGTACTAATGGGAAATATGTGTATAAAAGGTTCTTAATATGTTATCTCTCAGTTGTTCTATAACAAGCCTGACCTACTAAATTAATTAACATTGAAGTTGAAATTTTAAGATTTTTCTTAATCTAAATGAGTAACTAAATTTTAGTGCAACTTGTTTTTAGTTTTGCTGATGTGTTGAAGTTTAATGTTGGGAATTTTCTGTTATTACAGAAGAAAGGCCTTTGTGCATGTACCACAGTGTGGGGTACAGTGTATGAAGTCACAGGATGACTTCATACACTGTATGAAGATGCGTTACTCTGGATAAATGAAAGTCTTATACTTAAATACAGTTATTTTGCATATAATGTGTGGTGTTTCCATCCTATAAAGTAAGATTTATAATTCCGAACCCATTGCTAATAGTTGGTAGCGATAATAGTTGCATGCAGCAGTAAAAAAATAAATCCCTTATATGAGCTATAGCTCTCAAAATTCACATGTCAACTTCATTAAATATGGGCAAGCGTATAAGCAGTCATATGTGTAAGGTCATTAAACTATCATATTTAAATATCATTGATGAATGTTTACACATGCTAATAGATCATCCAGACGGTTGTGCATATTTTAGCCAGTCAAGTAAACAATGTGTAGGGCTAGACCAATAAATCCTAACGGTGAATACATCAGATAGCATCACGAGAACATGCTATAAACAAATCGTGTCGGTGGAGAATATTGATGAAGTTATATATCAACACATGAAACACATCTCTCAATGTGAAATTTAAAAAACAAACAAGCAATAAAACAGTAAAAATCTGGGGGATCCCTATCAAGATTGTTTGCTTATATTTTGTTTTGACCTTTGAACTCTCAGATATCCTTATCAACCTTAAATTCCATCAACCCTAAAGCTACACTGGATAAGTGTGACCTCAAGGTTGGCCTCAACCTTTAGTTCATTTCATTTACACACACAGCCCACTTTGGTTTTGTGTAGGCCAGACCAGTGAAACTCCCCTATCTGCCACTGTACTGAGCATTAACTACAAATTTAAGCAATGAGATCATTTTAATATAAAAAAAAGAAGCAATTTCTACAGTATGTCTCAGTTTGCTGTTGTAGTAAATGAAATAAATCTGTCAGCACAATTTTTTTGGCTTAAAATTGTAAGTAAATGTGTAACATTACATAATTTCTATTGTTTAATTACTTTGTTGCCATCAGTGAGGTCTTTGTCAACTGGAAACACTGTAAAACATGAAAATACAATCCTTCTTTACATTTTCCAATGTTAAACAACGGGCTGGATTGGAGTCTTCGTGGTGCTGATTCTGGCCCCTGGGCTTTATGTTTGACACCCCCGCTTTGGTTCTTGTAAAATGACTTTCATGCAAAAAAATGGATGTCATTTCTTAATTTCTGGGAAAGAATGTGAAGTATTTGCAGTTGATGAATTCTTTTCACTGATCCATTCTCTTTTTATGATCCCTTCAGAGCAGTCCATCAGCATAGTGCGGGAACTTAGTCCAGTAGAAGTCACAGAACCCTTTGCAGCTGTTTTTGAAGTGGAAATCAGTATGGAACTGGTGAAACCTCCTGTATGGACTTTGAATGGAGTTGCTCTGCAGGAGGGGCCTGATGTCGAACTGGAGAAAGAAGGCACGATGCACCGTCTCACTTTCAAAAAGACTAAAGCATCAATGACGGGAGCTGTACAGTTTACAGCTGGGAAGAGCAAATCTTTAGCCCAGCTCACAGTTAAAGGTAAAAGTTTTCAGTGTTGTGTTCACACAGAAAATTCTGTATGTATACACAAGAAAACTCCCATTAGATTTGAGCTGAGTCTAATCAGTCATTGTTGCTCACATTCAGAGCGCCCACTTGAGATTGCAGAAGCCATTAAAGATGTTAAGGCGAAGGAGAAAAGTTCAGCCATACTCAGCTGCAAGTTCTCTGCTCCACCCAAAGAGGTTAACTGGTTCAAAGGTCGAGCACCTCTGGCAGCTTCAGACAAGTACAACATCAAGCAAGATGGTACACGTGCCCAAATTACCATTCACAGGCTGACTGAGGAGGACAGTGGAGAGTACCGCTGTCAGTCTGGACCTGCTGAGACCAAAGGCACACTTACTGTTGAAGGTATGTTTTCCAACTTTAAATTGTCAAAAGACTGTGTTTAAAATATGGATGAAGCCACCGTGACGTCAGCCACCTATTAATTCCCCATTGTGAAGCCTCGAGCTTAGTGTTTTCACTATCACCATCCATTTTGGTTCTTTGAAATCAGATGTCAGAATCTGACTGAGAAACCGAGGACATTGCACGCTCTTTGGCTAAAGATTTTCAATAATAGTTGACATTGATATTAGTGTCATTCTAATATTATTTTCAAAAGACTTCTATCCAACCAGAAGTCTGTTTTCTACAGTCATTGGTGCAACCAATAAAATTAATGCAGCACTTCCACATTTGCTTTTTATTTCTGATCAAGAAGCTACATCCATCTTTTATAGAGTCTATTTGAATATCACAGAGTTTCCCTAGCATAAACCATAAAGCAATAAAAAAATTGATTTGAAATATTTTGTGATTGCTCTTCAAACTGAAACTGCTGTCCCGATTCATCTGCCTAGTGCGTGAAATCAAAATCACCAAGCACTTGGCCAATACAGAAGTCGATGAAGACAGCGATGCGGTATTCACCTGTGAGATTAACTACGCTGATGAAGAAGCTCAGTGGCTTCTGAATGACAAGGTGCTCTTCACAAATGAAGTTAACACCATCGCTCATGAGGGGAAGGTTCACAAGCTGACACTGAAGAACCTGGCACCTCAAGATGGAGGAACAATCACCTTTCAGGTCCGCAAGGTCAAAGAGTCTGTCACACTCAAGGTTAAAGGTGAGAGCATTAAATGCAGTTCCAGAGTTATTTGATATTTCACAAATGAGGCTTTTATTTATCCCTCAATCACTGTTTTACTTTCTGCAGAGAAGCGCGCTGTGTTCCTCAAGTCACTAGATGATGTTATTGGAGAAGAGAAAGGCATGATCACTCTGGCGTGTGAGGCATCCAAGCCAAGAGTTTCCCCCACATGGAGAAAAGAGGGTAAAGTCTTAAAAGCTGGGCCAAAATATGAGCTTCTTCACACAGGCAAGTCTTTGGGCCTGATCATCAAGGATGTCACCAAAGACGATGCTGGGGAGTACAGCTGTGACCTTGGCACTGAGGTATCCAAGGCAAAGGTTACGGTCAGAGGTGTGTTTTTCTATCATTTTGTATATTTATTTGTACACACTGCTTTCCGTATATACAGTTAACTTATACACAATTTGGTTTCTATCATAGAAATTGGTATTGGAATAACTAAATGGCTGAAATCAGTTGAAGTGAATGAGGGAGAGACATGCAGCTTTGAGTGCATCCTGTCTCGTGAGAGCACAGATGAGTGCTCCTGGACTGTCAATGGCCAAGCTGTTACAAATAGAGGCCGCTTTAGCGTCTCCACCAAAGGACGCAAATACATGCTCACTATTAAAGATGTCTCCCCTGCTGATGCTGGTGAGGTAGTCTTCAGTATCAAAGACTTGAGCTCCAAAGCAACATTGACAGTTGAAGGTAAGCTTGATATCGGTCTTTAAGAGGCTTTGGCAATGATTCAAATCATAAAATAAACATTTATCCTCTTATGTTGCAGGTAAAGCTTCATCTGTATCAAAAGGACTGCAGAATATTTGTGTCGTTCAAGGGGAAGATGCTGTTTTTACTTGTGAGGTGACACAGGCTAGTTTTGCTGTAAAGTGGGCCAAGGATGGTAAAGCCATCAAAAAGAGCCAGAAATATGAGCTCAGCCAGCAAGATAGAGTCATGAAACTGACCATCCATAATGTGTCTGCTCAAGACTCTGGAGAGTACAGCTGTGAAGTTATTGGAGGTGCAACCACCAGAGCTAAGCTAGAAATCAAGGGTAAGACTCTAAGAAAACTCAGAAATTGCCTTGGTCTAATTTCACATTTCAGCTTTGATGGGATACAATTATTCTACGTTTTGTTTCGATTTTCCACACACAAGCAAATAAACACCGCACACATACGTAAAGTAACACAAAGGTGCTTGTGGGTCAGTCCTTCTGGAGGCAGCACCTAGTGGTGGCTTTTATACTAGCTGGTAAGGGGACCTTTAAAAAGTATTTGTGATGATGATTTAATTCATCTGGAAAATATCCAAGGTAAAGGCATGTAAAGATAAAATGACAATTGTATTAATATAGCACATTTCATTACATGAAAACTTAATCTGTTTAACCCAGAAAATCATTCTACATTTTCTCCACTATGCCAGCTCAGGTGTGTATAGGTGCAGGAATTAGTAATAATATTCCAAGTGTAAAAAGTTGAAATATTTGCTAGACATAGAATATGTTCTGGAGTCTTTTTTAAAAATTAAACTATAGATTAGTGCTCTAGTTTCATTCTGTGGCAAACATTGTCACAGCGAAGTTTCCTTTTTGCAGAGCCAATCCATAAATTCACTAAAATGCTAAAGGACAGTGAAGCAGACGAGAAGGGCTCCGTGACTCTGCAATGCACGACGGAACAAATCCCATCCACGGTTGTATGGCTTAAAGGTCACACAGAGCTCAAGGCTGGAGGGCGATATGAGATGTGTCAGAAAGATGGCGTCTTAACTCTCACGATCAAACAACTGGAGGAGAATGATACTGATATCTACACTTGTGACGTAGGCACTGCCAAGAGCATGGCCAAGGTGACCGTTAAAGGTGAGAACTTTAGCATGAATGAAGCTGAGACAACGTTTTGTTCTTACTTACATCTTACTACACTGCAGAAAGGTTTGAGCTAAGTTTTCTTTTAATTTTGAGATTTTATTTTATTTTTTTTATAAATTGAATCCAAAAATCACAATTTTACATTTTGTTCTCAAAACATACGGACAGTGGTTACATTGTGTAGTACCCTTGGAAGTCCACTCTGTCACTCAAGAGGAGTCACAGGGGATCAGAGCGCATATGCAAACAACTTTGGTGCCAAACCAGCTGATACCATCCAAGGACTTTACAAGCTTGTGGATTTTTTTGTTTTTGAAACCGCTGTGGATTTGTACAGTTCTACTGTGTTTTTCTTGCAGTTTTCAGTCATTTGCAGCATTTAGGTTACTGCAAGGAATGCTTTGCTTTTGTGTTAAGTGGCGTTTATATCTTTGTCTGGTATATGTGTGTTTGAGGTATTGTCTGTACATCCACAAACTGTGAATGACATTCATTAGCATGCATTGGCGTTTCTGAGTGACCATTGCCCAAATTCATTGGATTATTCTCCTTTCATTTAAGAATTTTAATTTTTTTTAGTGCAGTAAAGTTTGGGTTTTGCTCCTAGATTTTAATCCACTGTTCAGAATCAGCTGCACTGTTCCAAAGACTAATGTTGGACAACTGGAGCACCTCAACTCCATCCGCCGTCCTAGCTTCCCATTATTCATTCTTCTTTACAACCCAACAAAACTCAAAGTAATTTTCCATTTTGTTTTAGCCCTGCCCGCCACTTTTATTGAGAAGCTCAAAAACCAGGAGAAAAAAGAAGGGGAGAGTGTGACACTTCGCTGTGAGCTATCAAAACCTGCAGCTGCCGTTCAGTGGAAAAAAGACTCTGAAATTCTCAAACCAGGAGAGAAGTATGACATGAAGCAGGCAGAGGGCTCTTGTATACTTCAGATTCTGAATTTGAAGATAGAAGATAGTGCAGTGTATACATGCATATGCGGGGACGAGAAGACATTTGCAGCCTTGAAAGTCACTGGTATGCGAATTTTCAAAGAGACACAATTCTGTGGCCTTGTTAAAACTGTTTGTATGACGTAATTGTGATGAGTAATGAAAACATGCTTGTGCAGCATTGCCACCAAACTTCACACAGAAGCTGGAGAGCCAGCAGGCCGAGGAGGGAGCTGACATTA